GGTCTTGGTCTTGGTCTTGGTCTTGGTCTGGTCCTGGTCCTGGTCTTGGTCTGGTCTTGGTCTTGGTCTGGTCTGGTCCTGGTCTGGTCTGGTCCTGGTCTTGGTCTCTGGTCTGGTCTTGGTCGGTCTTGGTCTGGTCTGGTCCTTGGTCTGGTCTTGGTCTTGGTCTCTGGTTGGTCTTGGTCTGGTCTTGGTCTGGTCTGGTCTGGTCTGGTCTGGTCTGGTCTGGTCTGGTCCTGGTCTGGTCTGGTCTGGTTGGTCTGGTCTTGGTCTGGTCTTGGTCTTGGTCTGGTCTTGGTCTTGGTCTGGTCTGGTCTGGTCTGGTCTTGGTCCTGGTCTCCTGGTCTGGTCCTGGTCTGGTCTCTGGTCTGGTCTGGTCTGGTCTGGTCTTGGTCTGGTCTTGGTCTGGTCTTGGTCTGGTCCTGGTCTGGTCTGGTCTTGGTCCTGGTCTTGGTCTGGTCTGGTCTTGGTCCTGGTCCTGGTCTTGGTCTGGTCTGGTCTGGTCTGGTCTTGGTCTGGTCTGGTCTGGTCTTGGTCTTGGTCTTGGTCTTGGTCTGGTCTTGGTCTTGGTCTGGTTCTGGTCTTGGTCTTGTCTTGGTCTGGTTCTGGTCTTGGTCTTGGTCTTGGTCTGGTTCTGGTCTTGGTCTTGGTCTTGGTCTTGGTCTTGGTCTGGTTCTGGTCTTGGTCTTGGTCTTGGTCTGGTCTTGGTCTGGTCTTGGTCTTGGTCTTGGTCCTGGTCTGGTCTTGGTCTGGTCTGGTCTGGTCTTGGTCCTGGTCTTGGTCTTGGTCTGGTCTTGGTCTTGGTCTTGGTCTTGGTCTTGGTCTTGGTTGGTCTGGTCCTGGTCTTGGTCTTGGTCTGGTCCTGGTCTGGTCTTGGTCTTGGTCTGGTCTTGGTCTTGGTCTGGTCTTGGTCTGGTCTTGGTCTTGGTCTTGGTCTTGGTCTTGGTCTTGGTCCTGGTCTGGTCTGGTCCTGGTCTGGTCTGGTCTGGTCTTGGTCTGGTCTGGTCCTGGTCTTGGTCTGGTCTGGTCCTGGTCCTTGGTCTGGTCCTGGTCTGGTCCTGGTCTTGGTCTTGGTCCTGGTCTTGGTCTGGTCTTGGTCTGGTCTTGGTCTTGGTCTGGTCTTGGTCTTGGTCTTGGTCCTGGTCTTGGTCTTGGTCCTGGTCTGGTCTTGGTCTGGTCTTGGTCTGGTCCTGGTCTTGGTCTGGTCCTGGTCTGGTCTTGGTCTTGGTCTTGGTCTTGGTCTTGGTCCTTGGTCTTGGTCCTGGTCTTGGTCCTTGGTCCTGGTCCTGGTCTGAACCTGATGGACTCGAGCTGCTTCACTTTTTTTTTCATCGTGTTTTTAAATGTGTTTTTTTTTGTCTGAAACGTCACAAAATTCAACATTTAAACTTTTTTTCTGAACCAAAGTCTCAGTGTGAAACCAGCTCCTTTGATTCGGCTCAAAACAAAATTCTACAAAATGTGTAAAAAGTCCTGAGTTTTGTCCAGTTGAAACGTTGGGACCTTGTTCACTTTTTCTGAAGCTTTAATGTAGAAACATGTTTGAGACGAGAACTTGATCCAAACAGATCGAGGAAGATGAAAATGTGTTTTACTGTAGATTTTTGGTCAAAGATTCTGAATCTGTGTCAAATATTTTGTGTTTTTTAAAGTTTTGCATTTGGTTCCTGCTCAAGTCCCTGAGCTCCTCCAAAACTTCAGTTTGAAATGAATCAATGTTTTTATGCCTTTAAGCTGATCAGAATCGACCCTCTGACCCTCCGCTCCCTCTTCTTCTACACATGGACCAGCTCCTCGGTCTGAAGGTCCAGAGCTTCTGTCCCCGACCTCCACCTGATGTTGAAGAGACGAGATCCTCAGGACGATCGTCACCACAGGATTTAAACCATCAACAAACAAACACAAACAACAAACTAGAACAAAATCAATAAAACTAATTCAGGATCATGTAGAACGTTGTTCATATAAACATTTGAAGACCAAAATGTGGAGGTTCACAGCAGCAGAGACACAAGCCACAAGAGCCAGAGCCGGAGCCAGAAGGAGCCAGAAGAGCCAGAAGAGCCAGAAGAGCCAGAAGAGCCTCCTGGAGAACTTCCTGTTGGGCACACGGCTCCAGGGTTCGATCTGTCCACTCATATATACAGTATATATACATATATACAGTATATATACATATATACAGTATATATACATATATACAGACTATATATACATATATACAGTATATATACATATATACAGACTATGTACATATATACAGTATAGTACATATATACAGTATATATACATATATACAGACTATATACATATATACAGACTATATACATATATACAGACTATATATACATATATACAGACTATGTACATATATACAGTATATATACATATATACAGTATATATACATATATACAGACTATATACATATATACAGTATATATATATATATATACAGTATATACATATATATATATACATATATACAGTATATATACATATATACAGACTATATACATATATACAGTATACATATATAATATATACATATATATATATACATATATACAGACTATATACATATATACAGTATATATACATATATACATATATACAGACTATATATACATATATACAGTATATATACATACACATATATATATATACATATATACAGTATATATACATATATACAGACTATATATACATATATACAGACTATATACATATATACAGATATACTACAGTATATATACATATATACAGACTATATACATATATACAGTATATATACATATATACAGACTATATACATATATACAGTATATATACATATATACATATATACAGACTATATACATATATACAGACTATATACATATATACAGATATATACATATATACAGTATATATACATATATTCAGTCTATGGTTGTATAAAAGTGATGATGATGTATAGAAAATGTCTAATAACAAAGTTTCATCATCATTTTGTGTCTAAATGTGTTTGTTTACGTCCAACATCCACATTTCATGTTTGCTTCTTTTGAAACTGTATGTGATGTTTCCAGTTTGTTTTACTCATATTGTTGAAGTATTTCAACAGGATCATTAAACAAACAGGTTTTTTGGAAGAACATGGAGAATTACATGTGAATATTACAGTGAAATGTCAAGAAAACAACCAAACCGGGTCATTTTTGACCCACTTATGCATCTAAGGCTTAATATGTGTAGATCTCACAGGTTTGGAACTTGCACCATTTGATTCTCTGACCCTGAAAATGTGGGTTTAGTTAAAATCAACATTTCAACTTATTCAGAGGCTGAGATCTTCCAAAAAGTGTTTTTTGGCACCATTTAAAAAAAAAATCCAAGACATGTGGGCAAATGAAACATTGATTTTCTGACTCCATAAACTAAAACCTTTATAAAAATATAAAGGTTAACAAATCCCCAAAAAATTCCCACAAAAGTAAATAAGGAACCGGACTAAAGTTTGTCTGGTCAAAGTTTGATCAAATCAAACTGAGTCACACGAAGAACCGACGTCCAGAGAAGAAACCAAAAAGACCAAACCTGGACTGAGACTCTCCAGCGTCGCATGAAAACTGACAACAGAGAGAAATGTTCAGGTTCAGTTTGGAAAAATCCGTTTGGAGGAAATCGATCTTGGACGTCAAAAACTGAAAACAAAAAACTGAGCGGCAACGAAATGTGAAAACCTGAATAAAAACACAAAATATTTAACAACAGATTCAGAATCTGTGACCAAAAATTCTACAATAAAACACATTTCATTCAGTGATTTTAGACATTTCTAAATGTTTTTCAGCCAAACCGGAGACGTTTGTGGACAGGAGCAGATTTCACACAAACCACACAAAAAACAAAAAACCAAAAAAACATTCTGCAGGTTTTTTCTGTTTCTCTTCAGGCTCCAGGGAAAAAAAGAGACGACCTGAGGCCACGACCTCGAGTCAGGAGCTCGACCTTTGACCCTGAAGTGTGAGGAACAGACTGAGCTTCCTGATTGGTCAGCAGACCGGTCACACTTCCTGTTTCTCCCCCAATGACACGAGACGAGTCGAGGCCAAAGGTTTAAAACTTTTATTTACAAAAGTGAAATTTACAAAAACTGAAAAACTGAAAAACTGAGCTCCACAACAAACCCAGACCCGGACCCGGACCCGGTCTAGACCCAGACCTGGTTCAGTCCTGGAACTTATGAAACTCTGATTAAAGTCACACTGTGGAATCTTTCTGGCTTTGATCTTCTCCGTCTCCACGGCGACCACAGGCCGTTACAGGTCAGGTCTGTGGAGAGGCCACTCCGCTCACTCACAGACGTGTTTAATGCCGTAGTGTGGAACATTCCGGCCTCATGTCCTCCAGAAAAGTTCCACAGTGAAGCTTTAATAAAAAAACATGAAAAAGCACAAAAAAATACAAAAAAACACAAAAAAATACAAAAAACACAAAAAAATACAAAAAAAACACATGTCACAGAAAGTCAACGAGATTTAAACAAAACGACCTGAGCAGCAAAAACTGTTAATATTATTATTATTATAATATTTATTATTATATTTATTATTATTATTATATTGATCACATGATCTGGTTTAAAGGGACATGTCCCTGTGACAGTTATTACATTATTACAGTGTTGTTATTATCATGAATAATCATAATAATAACAATGATCATAATGATAAAGTCTCTTAAAGGGGCGGTCTCTTGTCTCTTAAAGGCGCGGTCTCTTGTCTCTTAAAGGGGCGGTCTCTTGTCTCTTAAAGGGGCGGTCTCTTGTCTCTTAAAGGCGCGGTCTCTTGTCTCTTAAAGGCGCGGTCTCTTGTCTCTTAAAGGGGCGGTCTCGTGTCTCTTAAAGGGCGGGTCTTGTCTCTTAAAGGGGCGGTCTCTTGTCTCTTAAAGGCGCGGTCTCTTGTCTCTTAAAGGGGCGGTCTCTTGTCTCTTAAAGGGGCGGTCTCTTAAAGTCTTGTCTCTTAAAGGGGCGGTGTCTTGTCTCTTAAAGGGGCGGTCTCTTGTGTCTCTTAAAGGGGCGGTCTCTTGTCTCTTAAAGGGGCGGTCTCTTGTCTCTTAAAGGGGCGGTCTCTTGTCTCTTAAAGGGGCGGTCTCTTGTCTCTTAAAGGGGCGGTCTCGTGTCTCTTAAAGGGAAAGTCCCTGCGACGTGTCGCTGTCCGACAGAGTCCGGGGGCGGGACTTGGAGGACAGGAAGACCTTCTTCTTCTGCATGCTGGAGCGTGGCAGCAGCGACATCACTTCCTGTCTGAAGCGTCGGCCAATCAGAGCGTAGAGGAAGGGGTTGAGGGCGGGGTGAGCGAAGGCGAGCGCCTGGAGGACCAACCCCGTTTTATCCAGAAACTTCCTCTGATCACAGGAAAGAGACGCCGCCTGAGAGTCCCACAACTACAACAACACAACAACACACACACGTTACACAACAACACACACGTTACACAACAACACACACGTTACACAACAACACACAACTACACACAACTACTACAACACACATGTTACACAACAACACACAACAACAACACACAACAACACAACAACAACACACACGTTACACAACAACACACAACAACACACAACAACACAAACACACGTTACACAACAACACACAACAACACACAACACAACAACAACACAACAACAACACACGTTACACAACAACACACAACTACACACAACTACAACAACACACACACGTTACACAACAACACACAACAACACACAACTACAACAACACAACAACACACACACACGTTACACAACAACACACAACTACAACAACACAACAACAACACACGTTACACAACAACACACAACTACAACAACACAACAACAACACACGTTACACAACAACACACAACTACAACAACACAACAACACACACGTTACACAACAACACACAACTACAACAACAACAACAACACAACAACACACAACAACACACACACAACACAACAACACACAACAACACACAACACTACAACAACACACAACAACACAACACAACACACACACAACACAACAACACACAACTACAACAACACAACAACACACACGTTACACAACAACACACAACTACACACAACTACAACAACACAACAACACACACATGTTACACAACAACACACAACTACAACACACAACACACACACATGTTACACAACAACACACAAACACAACAACATCACACATGTTACACAACAACACACAACTACAACAACACAACAACAACACACGTTACACAACAACACACAACTACAACAACACAACAACACACACACAGTTACACAACAACACACAACACAACAAACAACACACAACTACAACACACAACACACAACACAACAACAACACACGTTACACAACAACACACAACTACAACAACAACAACAACAACACACACACATGTTACACAACAACACACAACTACAACACACAACTACAACAACAACAACAACACAACACAACACACATGTTACACACACAACAACAACACACAACACACAACACAACAACACACACACATGTTACACAACAACACACAACTACACACAACTACAACAACAACACACAACAACACACACGTTACACAACAACACACAACTACACACAACTACAACAACACAACAACACACACACATGTTACACAACAACACACAACAACAACACAACAACACACACACATGTTACACAACAACACACAACTACAACAACACAACAACACACACACGTTACACAACAACACACAACTACAACAACACAACAACACACACACGTTACACAACAACACACAACTACAAACAACACAACAAACACACACAACACACAACTACAACAACACACAACAACACACACACGTTACACACACAAACACAACAACAACAACAACACAACAACACAACAACACACACACGTTACACAACAACAACACACAACACACAAAACACAACAACACAACAACACACACATGTTACACAACAACACACAACAACACAACAACACAACAACACACACATGTTACACAACAACACACAACTACAACAACACACATGTTACACAACAACACACACCTACACACAACAACAACACACATGTTACACAACAACACACAACTACACACAACTACAACAACACAACAACACATGTTACACAACAACACACAACTACAACAACACAACAACAACAACAACACACACGTTACACAACAACACACAACTACAACAACACAACAACACACGTTACACAACAACACACAACTACAACAACACAACAACAACACACATGTTACACAACAACACACAACTACAACAACACACATGTTACACAACAACACACAACTACAACAACACAACAACACACACATGTTACACAACAACACACAACTACAACAACAACAACACACGTTACACAACAACACACAACAACAACACAACAACACACACATGTTACACAACAACACACAACAACACACAACTACAACAACACACATGTTACACAACAACACACAACAACACACAACTACAACAACACAACACACACACACACGTTACACAACAACACACAACTACAACAACACACATGTTACACAACAACACACAACTACAACAACACACATGTTACACAACAACACACAACTACAACAACAACACAACAACAACACACACATGTTACACAACAACACACAACTACAACAACACACATGTTACACAACAACAACACAACAACACACACATGTTACACAACAACACACAACTACAACAACACAACAACAACACACATGTTACACAACAACACACAACTACAACAACACACATGTTACACAACAACACAACAACAACACACATGTTACACAACAACACACACAACAACAACACAAACATGTTACACAACAACACACAACACATGTTACACACAACTACAACACACACCAGCCCCGTTTTATCCAGAATGTTCCTTATGGAGTAAGAAGCTTTCAGAAATATTTGTGCACATATATAACCCATTATAACTGATATATAACCCATTATAACTGATATATAACCCATTATAACTGATATATAACCCATTATAACTCATATATAACCCATTATAACTGATATATAACCCATTATAATATATTAACCCATTATAACTGATATATAACCCATATAACTGATATATAACCACCATTATAACATATATAACTGATATCATATATAACCCATTATAACTCATATATAACCCATTATAACCCATTATAACTGATATATAACCCATTATAACTGATATATAACCCATTATAACTGATATATAACCCATTATAAACCATATATATATAACCCATTATAAACTGATATATAACCCGATATATAACCCATTATAACTGATATATAACCCATTATAACTGATATATATAACCCATTATAACTGATATATAACCCATTATAACTGATATATAACCCATTATAACTGATATATAACCCATTATAACTCATATATAACTCATTATAACTGATATATAACCCATTATAACTGATATATAACCCATTATAACTGATATATAACCCATTATAACTGATATATAACCCATTATAACTGATATATAACCATTATAACTGATATATAACCCATTATAACTCATATATAACCCATTATAACTGATATATAACCCATTATAACTGATATATAACCATTATAACTGATATATAACCCATTATAACTGATATATAACCCATTATAACTGATATATAACCCATTATAACTCATATATAACCCATTATAACTCATATATAACCCATTATAACTCATATATAACCCATTATAACTGATTATAACTCATATATAACTGATTACAACCTATTATAACCCATTATAACTCAGACAGGTCAGGGGGTCAGGGGGGGATCGGGCGGGTCAGTGGGGGGGGGGGGGGTCAGAGGGAGGTCAGTGGGGGGGTCAGAGGGGGGGTCAGTACCTCGGCGATCAGAACTCCGTTGTGAGGAAGCTGAGTGATGATGAAGACGAGGACGATCGCCATGACGACCAGAAGGGGGCGGTGCCTGTGGAACGAGTGAGTCATCAGCAGCCGACGGCCAATCACAGCGTAGCACCCGCCCATGACGACCAATGGGACGAAGAAGCCCACCGAGACCTGAGACCGAGACCGATACTCAAACCAAGACCCAGACTGAGACTCAGACCAAGACCAAGACCCAGACTGAGACTCAGACCCAGACCCAGACTGAGACTCAGACCCAGACCAAGACCCAGACTGAGACTCAGACCAAGACCCAGACTGAGACTCAGACCAAGACCAAGACCCAGACTGAGACTCAGACCCAGACCAAGACCCAGACTGAGACTCAGACCAAGACCAAGACCAAGACCAGACTGAGACTCAGACCAAGACCCAGACTGAGACTCAGACCAAGACCCAGACTGAGACTCAGACCCAGACTGAGACTCAGACCAAGACCCAGACCGAGACTGAGACTCAGACCCAGACTGAGACTCAGACCCAGACTGAGACTCAAACCAAGACCAAGACTGAGACCTGAGACTCAGACCAAGACCCAGACCCAGACTGAGACTCGGGGGGTTTGGTCGGGTGGGGGGTTTGGGGTTGTCGGGGGGGGTTTGGTCAGGTGGGGGGGTTAGGTTGTCGGGTGGGGGGGTTTGGTCGGTGGGGGGGTCTGGTCGGTGGGGGGGGTTTGGTCGGTGGGGGGTTAGGGTGGGGGGGGTTTGGTCGGGTGGGGGGGTTGGTCGGTGGGGGGTTAGGTTGTTGGGGGGGTTTGGTCGGTGGGGGGGTTTGGTCGGGGGGGTTAGGTTGTTGGGGGGGGTTTTGGTCGGTGGGGGGTTTGGTCGGGTGGGGGGGTTTGGTCGTGGGGGGTTAGGTTGTTGGGGGGGGTTGGTCGGTGGGGGGGTGTTGGGGTCAGGTGGGGGGGTTAGGTCGGGGGGGTTGGTTGTTGGGGGGGTTTGGTCAGGTGGGGGGGTTAGGTCGGTGGGGGTTAGGTTGTTGGGGGGGGTTTGGTCAGGTGGGGGGTTAGGTTGGGGGGGGGTGGGGGGGTTTGGTCGGTGGGGGGTTAGGTTGGGGGTTGGGGGGGTTGTTGGTCGGGTGGGGGGTTAGGTTGTTGGGGGGGTTTGGTCGGGGGGGGTTGGGGGTTGTGGGGGGGTTGTGGGGGGGTTTGGTCGGGTGGGGGGTTGGTCGGGTGGGGGTTTGGTGGGGGGGTTAGGTTGTCGGGGGGGTTGGTCGGGGGGGGGTTGGGTTGGGGGGTTAGGTTGGGGGGGGGGTTTTGGTCGGTGGGGGGGGTTTTGGTCGGGTGGGGGGTTTGGTCGGGTGGGGGGTTAGGTTGTCGGTGGGGGGGTTTGGTCGGTGGGGGGGTTTGGTCGGGTGGGGGGGTTTGTCGGGTGGGGGGGTTAGGTTGTCGGTGGGGGGGTTTGGTCGGTGGGGGGGTTTGGTCGGGTGGGGGTGGGGGGTTTGGTCGGGTGGGGGGGTTAGGTTGTTGGCGGGGGTTAGGTTGTTGGGGGGGTTGGTCGGTGGGGGGGTTTGGTCGGGTGGGGGGGTTAGGTTGTCGGGGGGGGAGGTTTGGTCGGGTGGGGGGGGGGTTGGGTTGTCGGTGGGGGGGTTTGGTCGGGTGGGGGAGGTTTGGTCGGGTCGGTGGGGGGTTAGGTTGTCGGTGGGGGGTTTGGTCGGTGGGGGGGTTTGGTCGGGTGGGGGGGTTAGGTTTGGTCGGTGGGGGGGTTGGTCGTGGGGGGTTTGGTCGGGTGAGGGGGTTTGGTCGGGTGGGGGGTTAGGTTGTTGGGGGGGGGGTTTGGTCGGGTGGGGGGTTAGGTTGTCAGGGGTCACTCACCTGGAGGCTGAGGGCGGTGGCCTTGGCGGCGCGGCCCCAGTGGGCGGGGTAAACCGTGCGGCAGGTCATGTGACCGTCGTCCTGGGGCATCGCCGTGGCGAAGGCTAACTCCGGCGCGGCTAACAGCAGTGCTAGCAGCCACACGCTAACGCTAACGGCCCGCGCCCAGCGGCGGCGGCGGCGCTGAGAGTTCAACGCCGCCGTCGCGTGAACGATGACGACGTAACGGTCGACCGCGATGCACGCCAGGAACAGACTGACCGAAAACAGGTTCAACTGTGGAGAGACCAGACCAGGACTGAAACAGGACTGAACCAAGACTAGACCAGGACTAGACCAGGACTGAAACAGGACTAAACCAAGACTAGACCAGGACTAAACCAGGACTAAACCAGGACTAAACCAGGCACTAAACCAGGACTAAAACAGGACTAAAACAGGACTGAACCAGGACTAGACCAGGACTAGACCAGGACTGAACCAGGACTAAACCAGGACTAAACCAGGACTAAACCAGGACTGAAACAGGACTGAACAGGACTGAACCAGACTAGGACTGACTGAACCAGGACTAAACCAGGACTAAACCAGGACTGAAACAGGACTAAACCAGGACTAAACCAGGACCAAACCAGGACTGAAACAGGACTAAACCAGGACTAAACAGGACTAAACCAGGACTGAAACAGGACTGAAACAGGACTAAACCAGGACTAGACCAGGACTAGACCAGGACTGAAACAGGACTGAAACAGGACTAAACCAGGTCTAAACCAGGACTAAACCTGGACTAAACCTGGACTGAAACAGGACTAGAGCAGGACTAGAGCAGGACTGAAACAGGACTAGAGCAGGACTAGAGCAGGACTAGAGCAGGACTAGAGCAGGACAGGACTAGAGAGCAGGACTAGAGCAGGACTAGAGCAGGACTAGAGCAGGACTGAAACAGGACTAGAGCAGGACTAGAGCAGGACTAGAGCAGGACTAGAGGCAGGACTAGTCCGGTTCTGGTGGTACCTTGTAGGTGGCGGCGGTGAGTTTACAGAGTCCGGGGCCCAGGGTCCATCCTGCAGTACTCTGGTGCGCCCACAGGGGGAGCGTGAGCAGGAAGAGCAGGTCTGCGGCGCACAGGTGTAACAGGTACAGGTGAGTGAGCGCCTTCAGGCCCCGCCCCCCGCACACGCCCCGCCCCCTCCACAGGTACACCCACAGCACCAGCAGGTTCCCCACCAGACCCACCACGGCCACGCTCCAGAACACGGCCGGCTCCAGAGCGCCGCGGAACCGCCGCACGTCCGACCGCTCGCACAGGAAGTCCTCGTAGTCCTCCGTGAACCAGGACGAGGACTCAGACGAGGACTCCGACCAGGACTCCAACCAGGACCCAGACGAGGACTCCGACCAGGACTGTGTGGACTCAGCGAGGTCTGGGGGCTGGAGAACATTAGAAGAGTGTTACACGTCATCCTTTCACAATAAATCAGGTCACCCTTTCACAATAAAACATATCACCCTTTCACAATAAAACAGACAACCCTTTCACAATAAAACTGATCACCCTTTCACAATAAAACAGAACATCCTTTCACAATAAAACATATCACCCTTTCTCAATAAAACAGATAACCCTTTCACAATAAAACATACCACCCTTTCACAATAAAACATATCATCCTTTCACAATAAAACATATCATCCTTTCACAATAAAACAGATCATCCTTTCACAATAAAACAGACAACCATTTCACAATAAAACATATAAACCTTTCACAATAAAACATATCGCCATTTCACTATAAAACTGATCACCCTTTCACAATAAAACAGAACATCCTTTCACAATAAAACATATAAACCTTTCACAATAAAACATATCACCCTTTCTCAATAAAACAGATAACCCTTTCACAATAAAACATATCATCCTTTCACAATAAAACAGGTCATCCTTTCACAATAAAACATATCACCCTTTCTCAATAAAACAGATAACCCTTTCACAATAAAACATATCATCCTTTCACAATAAAACAGGTCACCCTTTCACAATAAAAACTATAGAAGCCCATTTCCACCAGTAAATAAAAAATAAGACTCACAGAAACTCAAAATTATGACTTTTAAACTTGTAATTGTGTCTTTAAACTCATAATTATGACTAAAACTAATAATCATGATTTTTTAAACTTGTAATTATGATTTTTAAACTCATAATTATAATTTTTAAACTCGTAATTATAATTTTTAAACTTGTAATTATGATTTTTAAACTCATAATTATAATTTTTAAACTCGTAATTATAATTTTTAAACTTGTAATTATGATTTTTAAACTCGTAATTATGATT